AACGTGTTGTATTCAGGCATCATCACATGCAAGTCAGATAAGCAGCTACTGGGCTCAGCAATGACTAAGCATCACAGGAACCTGAAAACAAGGCCTGCCTGAGGCTCAGTCGGGAAGCTGTGCTCCTTCCTAATTACAGCGGCAAACGCCCGTGTGTGAGTCTACCTTCACGTTACGTTAGTCTAGGCTGGGGCATCAAACATGTCACTAAGCTCCCTTAGGAGAGGACAGGTGATGGTAGTTTTACATCCATTATCATTTTTAAAATCCCTGGTCACCATTTCCTAAGACCACAGTCTTGACCAACAAAGGTTTAGAAATGACTTGAAGGTGGGATATGTTCCCGCAGAGGACCTCGCTGGGATGAGCTCGACGCCCGGGGACCGCCATGAGTCAGGCCAGGTCTGCGACAGGCCACTGTGGCCGAAACCCTGCACTGAAAACAGGGCTGCACGTGGATGTGGATGGACCAAGGCCTGGGGCCGGGCAGACCCTGGGTTTCGGGTGCTACCTGCTTAGTGGCTCCACGGCAGGTAGGCCAGGGTGGCAACATTTGGGAAGCAAGGAGATGGGCTCCAGGGGCAGAGGAAGGTGCTGGGGACCACGGGGCAGCAGCCCCAGTGCAGAGACATCAGTCACACGGACCGAAAAAGGGAAGCAGAACGGGGTGCGTCAAGTTCGGGGGTGTGATGGAGACCAGGGACTCCCCAACCCCTCAGCCTCCCCACCTGCAAGGTAAACTCAGAATCTCCCAACTCGATTTTTAAGTCAGGAAGAAGGGCCTTTCACTCACTAGTCTCATACAATATACATTTTCCTTCGTTATTTACCTACACATTTATTTCTGAATAGGTGCTAGACTCGCAGCCGTGGGCAAACTACGGCCCGCGGGCCGGATCCAGCCGTTTGAAATGAATAAAACTAAAAAAAAAAAGACCGTACCCTTTTATGTAATGATGTTTACTTTGAATTTATATTAGTTCACACAAACACTCCATCCATGCTTTTGTTCCGGCCCTCCGGTCCAGTTTAAGAACCCATTGTGGCCCTTGAGTCAAAAAGTTTGCCCACCCCTGTTAGAGGCACAAGTGCACCACTCAAAAGTTATAAATGGAAACAAATCTCCCTTCTACCTGTGTCTCATAGGGCCCCCGTTTCTCTCCAGAGGTACCTCCTGCCGTCCCAGCCCCTGTGTGTCCTTCTGGGAGT